ATGACTAATATTATTATGCAGCTCTGAATGTACTTAGCCACTCATATCTTCTTTGGTGAAGCTTCTGTTCAAATTATTTTCCCATCGTCTCAAGTGTCTCAAGACCACCCTCACATTTGCTAATTTACTAGAAGGACTCACAAGACTCAGCAACAGGTTTTACTCATGGCTAACATCTGTTACAGAACAAGTGTATAGAGCACGAGCAATAGGAACAAGATATCTACTGGGTGGAGTCCAGAGTGGTTAGGCACAGGCTTTCCAAGTTCTTTCCCATCTGGAGTCCCAGAGGACATACTTTTTCTCTGGCTGTGAACTATAGGGACATCTGTGCAGGGAAGCCCATTGAAGTCTCAGAGTCCAAGGCTTTTATTGACGGCTGGGCACATGGATACATCCTGCTACGCAACCAGCTATGGCAACCAGAACTCAGGACGGAACAATGAAGTCAGGTGTACGTAATCAACTTGATGTTTGTGCAAAGCAATCTGGACAAGATAGTATGACATGGTCCACTGTTTCAGTATACACAATAAAATCCTTAATCGTTAACACAAAGAACCATCCAGATACCACATTCGCAAAGGGTGTCCAATATTCAGTAACGGCTCCAAGTTCTCCTGGAGATGTGTGAGGAGTGAGTAATAAGACCTGCTATGCTAACTCTTTTCTCACACCCATTTTATTATCAGGTTGTTTACTTATTATTGAATTTTAGGAGTTCTTTATATATTCTGTATACAATCGTTTATCAAATATATGCTTTGCAAAGATTTTCTCCCAGTGCTTGGTTTGTCCTTTTATCCTCCTAACAGTATCATTTGAATAGCATGAATTTTTAATGTTGATGAAGTCCAATTTATCAGTTTGTTGTTTTATGTATTGTGTTTGGGGTATCATAGCTAAGAAATCTTTGCCAAAGCCAAGATTTAAAATATTTTTCCTATGTTTTCTTCTAGCATTTTTATAGTTTTAGACTTTCACATTTAGGTCTATGATCCATTTTGAGCTAATTTTTGTATATGGTTTGACCTGGAGTATTTTAAAGCAAATATTTGACATTGTATCTTTTTACCCATAAATACTTTGGTATGTATCTCTACAAGATTGAGGAGAATTTTTAAAAACATAATCCCAATACCTTTATCATAATTAATAACATCCAGTACCCAATCTGTGTTCAAATTTTCCCAACTATCCCTAAAATATCTTTTTGTTTATTTAAATTAGTATCTAAACAAAATCAGCATATTGCATTATGTTGGTATGTTTCTTAAGTCTCTAATAATCTATAATAGTTCCCTTATCCCACTTTCCCATGCCATTTATTTTTTCTTAATAATCCAGGTCACTTGTGCTAAGGAATCTCCCACATTCTGGACTTGGCTCATTGTATTCTTGTGCTATTTTTAACATATTGCTCTGCCATTTCCTAATTTATCGATCTTAGACACTATTTATCTACTCCATGCTATGAAAGACGAGGATTTGGCTAACATATTACTCTGTACTTCCCTCTATCTAATTATCTTTTCAACATCTTTAGGAATGGAATAAATATGGAAAATTTTTTTTGAAGAATCCATATACATATACTTACTTGCTTTTTACCAAGTAACATGTTTATTTACTCTTGGCTCTACCGTAAACTACCATATACTATAATACACTATCTTTTATCCAATGTAGTAGCAGTGAGGGAGTGGAGAATAGAGATTCGAGAAATATCTCAGAAAAAGGTCTGACAGTATTAAATGAGGGAAGGAGTGGGGGAAGAATGATTGCTTCCTTAAATTGATGATTGCTTAATTTCTGCCTTCAACAACTAAGTACATGGTGGTGCCATTCAGAAGAATAGAGGAGGAGGAACAGGTTTGGGGAAGAGGTTGGGGACACAGGAAGAAAACTAATTCAGTTTTTGATACTGAGACATGGGATATCTATAAACAATCAAGTAAAGATGCCCAGTAGATCAATGGAAGTATGGATCTGGAGATTCAGAGAGATACATGAGCTAGAGTTACTGATTTGAAAGTCATTAGTTTAAGGGGTGATAGTTGAATCCATGGGCACAGATGATATTGCCCAAGGAATGTGAAGAGTAAGGAAAGAGGAAGACAAACAACAAAACCCTAAGGAACACTAAGATTTAAGGAGACAGAAGCAGTTGTTACCATGTATGATAAGAACCATAATAAACATATGCATGAGATACCCTAATGACTCAAAATAAGATTGATCAACTGGGTAGGGAGAAGTTAAAAAGGTTTTACTTTGGTTTGGATATTGATGGATGTATAGAAGTGTGCTAATGGGATGAGGGTCAGGAAAGAAGATAAATTCACCTATTTTACAAGGAAAACAGAGGACTTCAAATGAGGGTTCTCTCAACTATCTCCCACTATGATACACACCTGTCTAGAGTTGTGTTCCTCTAAGTGTGGTCAACAATTCACTTGCATAAGAATCACAGAGGGGCTTTATCAAATTAAATATTATTGGGTTCCACCTTAGACCTACTGAATCAGAATCATTGGGGTGGGGTGCATGAGGAATCCACATTTTAAACCAGTTCTCTATAAGTGATTCTGAAGTAGATGGTTTGTGTGCTAAATTTTGTACAAACTAGGGTGTGACCATGGGAACATTTGGCTAAAGTGGAATGGAGAGAAAAGGCTTTGGGGATGATGAAATCAAAGAATTGTGATCTTCAAGTTGCTACTCTCTTCTTGCCAGTTTTAGCAGGAAGGCCTAGTGGGAAAATGGGGAATAGGGAGATTTTGCAAAAGTATAATGACACCATCTGTTTTCCGTCATTAGAAAGGAAAAATGAGCCAGATAAGACTAAGAGGAAAGCAGTTTTCCTCTGAGCTGGTCCTAAGTCAAATACAGGCACCCTGATGAAAAAGAAATCAACAATTGATTTGGCTGATTGAATGTGGTCCTCAACACAATAACAACAGCCAACAAAAACAACACACTCATGAATTCCCCTGATTTTGTTTTCACATTTTACTGGTTACCTGGCACTTTATACTCAGCTCTTCCTAGTGAATTCCTCTTACCTGAAGTCACTAAATGTTTAGTTTTTCATTTGATCAGTAATTCCAGGAATAAAAATTTCCGTGTTTCCCATAATTTTTATCCTGAAAAGAGGAAATCTCAAGTTGATCCATTGTCTACTGTTCAATCAGAAAATATTTCTATCTATGTCTCCATAAAAAAGATAACTATATGTTTGGAAACACACAATTTGAAGTTCATTGTGAAATAGATTACTCTTGAGAATTAATTTGTGTCCTTATGGAATCCCAGGGATGTACTCTCAAACTAAATTTGATGGCCTATGAATATTCTGCTATGGCTAGAAATATTATTCTTCTGAGAAATTGGCTAATAGGTTTTGTATTTTGTCAAAGCAGCTATCTACATGGGTCTCCAGAGTTGGGTATATCTTGCTGGGAACACACTTTAACTTCAAAAGATTGTAACATATTACTTTGTTTTGAGGAAAGCTGTGACTATTTCTATTCATTCCTTGTAATTTTTCTAGGAGACAAATCACATCATAAAACAATTGCCTCCTTTGAAAAGACTACTATACAAGGCCCTTTCCTGTGATAAAATTAAGTCAATTCTGATTCTGAAATTAAACCTGAAGAATAATAAGATTTCATAAGAGAACTAACTTTTCTGTTTGTTGATCCACTAATTCCATTTATCATTCATAGTTTTCTAAGATACATTTCCTGGCTCACATACTGTGCTAGTAAGTCAGTAAGGCAGGAGTAGCAGATGACAGCTCCTGGTTACACAGAAGTTAGAAGATGCTTTAGAGAATATAAGAGGTGTGATGGGGAAATAAACTGTTACTTCTACTGTGATTCCACCCAGGAACTGAGGGATTATGTTGTTAAAAAAAAGAACCATGAAACCTAGAGAGAGAATAAGGAATTGTCAGTGTGTGTGTGCAAATTTATATAAAGGAAAGATACTAGAGAAAATAAATAAATACTGGGTTACTATAAAGGTATATGTTCTGTAGAGGAGAAGAAGCTCTAATGTAGTGTATATAAAATATTCCCACAGAACCATGAGATTTCTTTCTTTTTTTAAATTCTATACTTACCAAACCAATCTTTTAGTTACTGCATTAGTTTCCTAGCTATTGTATTAGTTGCTAGGGCTGCCTTAACCAAGTGCCACTGACTGGTGGATTAAAAGGAAATTTATTTTCTCACAATTCTGGAGGCTAGAAATCTGAGATGAAAGCATCGGTAAGGTCGGTTTCTTCTCAGGTCTCTCTCCTCAGCTGGAATATAGCCATCTTCTCTCTGTGTTCACATGGTCTTCCCTCTGTGTGTCTCTCTGTCCTAATCTCTTTTTATAAGAGCATGGGTCATATTGGATCAGGGCGCACCCTAATGACTTCATTTCATTTTATCTACCTTTATAAAGACCCTATCTTCAAATACAGTTATAGTCTGAGATACCAGGGGTTAAGACTTAAATACATGATGACACAAATGAACTTATTTACGAAACAGAATCAGACTCACAGACATAGAAAGCAAACTTACGGTTACCAAAGGGGAAAGGGAGTGGGAGAGGGATAAATTAGAAGGTTGGGATTAGCAGATACAAACTACTATATATAAAATAGATAACAAGGTCCTACTGTATAGCACAGGGAACTATATTCAATATCCTACAATAAACCATAATGGAAAATAACATGAAAAAGAATATGTATATGTATGTATAACTGAATCACTTTGCTGTACACCAGAAACTAACACACCATTATAAAACAACTATACTTCAATTAAAAATAAAAGACTTCAATATATGAATTTTGGGAGGATAAGCAATTCAGCCCATTAACAGTTATTATTTCAGGTTTCCACACATATTAATACAAAGAAAGGTCCCTGTAAATATATATCATCTAATATAAATTTAGAAATTGGATTTTTGGCAAAATCTAGTTGACTGTGAGTTACCTTTCTACAGGTATGATCTGCCTGGGGGATCGATGTTCATTTCTGGATGCCTACTCTGTTCCAGGCACTGGCATAGGTCCTAGAGCTGGAAAGACAAACACATTTCTTGTTCTTGAGGAGTTTGCCGTCTGGAGGAGGGGAATCAATATAAACAAGCAAGTACAATAAAATGTGCTAAATATTATTACAGAGGAGATGCAATGTTGAAGGAGCAAATTCAGCTAGACCCATGGTGACCCAACCAAGATAAAGGAATATATTAAGCTCTAGAATACTGCCTAATTAATACTATTGCATAAAGTATTAGAGCTTATTATTTTCAAGAAAATTTATTCATCTATTTAATTTTTGCCTAAAGTCTTAAGACCCATTCCATGTATATACTTTTTAATAAAAACTTTGTAAAGTGCTGTTTATATTTGTAGCAAAACCTCAGCAGAAATATGTTCATGTTTTGTCATAATATGATGATCATGACCTTGCAGAGTGTGTTACACAAATTAAAAATCTATTTTGATAAGGTATTATAAGCTAAGCCACCACTGAACACAAGGATATATGTAAGAACTCTGAAATTCAAGGACAGTTTTTAAAAAAATAAACAAACTATAATGAATTGTTTGCCAAGAACTAGAACAATCCCTAATGATATATAAGAATCAGGGTACAGGGGCTTCCCTAGTGGCACAGTGGTTAAGAATCCGGCTGCCAATGCAGGGGACACGGGTTCGAGCCCTGGTCTGGGAAGATCCCACATGCTGCAGAGCAACTAAGCCCGTGCGCCACAACTACTGAGCCTGTGCTCTAGAGCCCATGAGCCACAGCTACTGAAGCCCACATACCTAAAGCCCATGTTCCACAACAAGAGAAGCCACTGCAATGAGAAGCCCGTGCACCGCAACGAAGAGTAGCCCCCACTTGCCACAACTAGAGAAAGCCCGTGAAGCAACGAAGACCCAACACAGCCAAAAATAAAAATAAAATAGTTATATATATAAAAAAAAGAACCAGGGTACAGAAGTAGTGAAATAACCCGATTTATTATCAAGCACTGTATCACTTAGCAGATACCTATTTTATAAAAGTTATCCTGAAGTTATGATACACTTCAAGAAACATCCAATGGTGTCTAAATTATTTTTCATAATACCACCATTTTCCTGATAACCAAGGATAAATTGATCACAGATCTCTACATATACCAGTGAATCTTCGTTATAGATCTCTTTTCTGTTTAGTCCTTCAAAGATACTATTACAAGTGGAAGAAGAAGGTTTTAGGTCAGCAAATACCACTAAAAAAGGTCAGAGAATCCTCTTTGGAGTCATGTATTTAAAATGGTACTTTAATATGAGTCTAACAAATAGAAAGAAATATGGCATGACAAATGCTAACAAATTAAGGACGAAGTTGTCAAGGGCTGATAAACCGATTCCATAAAGAAGCCAATTTTTTCTTCCTATTGATCTCTTCTTCCTTGGCTTTCTTGAAATAAAATACATAGCTATGTGATGTAGCTTTGAAATATGTAAAATGAGAAAGTTGAACTAAATTAATTTTACGGTCGTTTTCAAGAACTTTGAAGAGTCTGAGATTTTACCCTATGTACAAGTTAACAAGTTTGGCACAGTTTCATAGATGCTGGCAAAAGACGCTGGGGTCAGAGACAAAGGACAGTTTATTAACACCAACAATAGCATTTGCTACAGTATCTGCACTTGTACCAGGTCCCTGAGCACCATTTCCCACAGGGTGATGCAGAGAGGGCTGGAAAGATACCTGCCCATGCAATAGGGTGTATCTTAAGAGAGGAATCCTGAATTTGTCACCTTATAATGGGTAGTCATCTCAGGAGGAAAACACTATCTCTTTTCCATGGCTATTCACTATACAAAAATTCTTTTCTAAAAAATTGAGATATAATTCACATACCATAACCCTTCAACCTGTACAATTGAGTGGTTATGACTATATTCACAAAGTTGTACAACCAGTCAGTCCCCATCCCCCTCCCCCAACCACCAATGTACATTTGTCTCTGGATTTACCTATTCTGGACACTTCACATAAATGGAATCATACAATACGTAACCTTTTTGTGACAGGCTTCTTTCACTTAGCATAATGTCTTCAAGGTTTATACGTGCTATAACATGAAACAGCTCTTCATTTTTTATGGCTAACTAATATCTATTGTATGGATATAACACATTTTGTTATAGCTTACATCACTCGTAAGCTGATGGGTATTTGGGGTGTTTCCATCTTTTGACTATTATGAATAATAGTGGCACAAATATTCACGTACCAGTTTTTGTGAGGACATATATTTTTAACTTTCTTGAGTATACAACTAAGAGTGAAATTGTAGTGTCACATGGCAACTCTATGTTCAACTCCTTTAGAAACTGCCAAACTGTTTTCCAAAGCAGCTGTACCATTTCTTTTGTTTTCTTGTTTTTGTTTTTGCGGTATGCGGGCCTCTCACCATCGCGGCCTCTCCTGCTGAGGAGCACAGGCTCTGGAAACGCAGGCCCAGCGGCCATGGCTCATGGGCCCAGCTGCTCCGCGGCATGCGGGATCCCCCCGGACCGGGGCACGAACCCTCGTCACCCGCATCGGCAGGCAGACTCCCAACCACTGCGCCACCAGGGAAGCCCCAGCTGTACCATTTTATATTCCTACCAGCTATGTATGAGGGTTCCAATTTCTCCACATCCTTGCCAACACTTGTTATTTTCTGTCTTCTTGATTATAGCCATCATAGTGAGTGTGAAGTGGTATCTCATAGTGGTTATTATTTTCGTTTCCTTAGTGGCTAATGATATTGAGCAGCTTTTCATGTGCTTATTGGCCATTTTCATATCTTCTTCTGAGAAATGTTTATTCGAATGCTTTGCCCTTTTTTACATTGGATTGTTTGTCTTTTTATTGTGGAGTTGTAAGAGTTTTTTATATATTCTAGATACTAGATCCTTATCAGATATATGATTTGCAAAACTTTCTTGATGGTGTCCTCTGAAGCACAGAAGTGTTTAATTTTAATGAAGTTCCATTTTTTGTTTTGTTTTGTTTTATTATACATAAGGAACCAAAGTCAGAAATACTTATACCTATGCTTTCTTCGAAGAGTTTTATAGATTTAGTTTCTCCACTTAGGTCTTCAGTCCATTTTGAATTAATCTTTGTACATGATGTGAAGTGGGGATCCAACTTCTTTCTTTTTCATGTGTATACCCAGTTAACTCAGTGCTATTTGTTGAAAAAACTACTATTTTCCATTGCAAAGTTCTCTTGTCAAAAATCAGTTGACCACCAAGAAGAAGATATAACAATTGTAAATATTTATGCACCCAACATAGGAGCACCTCAATACATAAGGCAAATACTAACAGCCATAAAAGGGGAAATTGACAGTAACACAATCATAGTAGAGGACTTTAACACCCCACTTTCAGCAATAGACAGGTCTTCCAAAATGAAAATAAATAAGGAAACACAAGCTTTAAATGATACATTAAACAAGATGGACTTAATTGATATTTATAGGACATTCCATCCAAAAATAAGAGAATACACATTCTTCTCAAGTGATCATGGAACATTCTCCAGGATATATCATATCTTCAGTCACAAATCAAGCTTTGGTAAATGTAATAAATGTGAAATCGTATCAAGTATCTTTTCTGACCACAACGCTATGAGAGTAGATATCAATTATAGTAAAAAATCTATAAGAAATACGAACACATGGAGGCTAAACAATACACTACTTAATAACGAAGTGATCACTGAGGAAATCAAAAAATACCTAGAAACAAATGACAATGGAGACGCAACGACCCAAAACCTATAGGATGCAGCAAAAGCAGTTCTAAGAGGGAAGTTTATAGCAATACAATCCTACCTAAAGAAACAGGAAATATCTCAAATAAAAAAACTAACCTTGCAGCTAAAGCAAGTAGAGAAAGAAGAACAAAAAAACCCCCAAAGTTAGCAGAAGGAAAGAAATCTTACAGATCAGATCAGAAATAAATGAAAAAGAAATGAAGGAAACGATAGCAGAGATCAATAAAACTAAAAGCTGGTTCTTTGAGAAGGTAAAGAAAATTGAGAAACCATTAGCCAGACTCATCAAGAAAAATAGGGAGAAGACTCAAATCAATAGAATTAGAAATGAAAAAGGAGAAGTAATAACTGACACTGCAGAAATACAAAGGATCATGAGAGATTACTACAAACAACTCTATGCCAATAAAATGGACAACCTGGAAGAAATGGACAAATTCTTAGAAATGCACAACCTGCCAAGACTGAACCATGAAAAAATAGAAAATGTAAACAGACAAATCACAAGCACTGAAATTGAAACTGTGATTTAAAATCTTCCAACAAACAAAAGCCCAGGACCAGATGGCTTCACAGGCAAATTCTATCAAACATTTAGAGAAGAGGTAACACCTATCCTTCTCAAACTCTTCAATAATATAGCAGAGGGACGAACGCTCCCAAACTCATTCTATGAGGTCACCATCACCCTGACACCAAAACCAGACAAGGAGGTCACAAAGAAAGAAAACTACAGGCCAATATCACTGATGAACATAGATGCAAAAATCCTCAACAAAATACTAGCAAACAGAATCCAACAGCACATTAAAAGGATTATACACCATGATCAGGTGGGGTTTATTCTAGGAATGCAAGGATTATTCAATATACGCAAATCAATCAACGTTATATACCATATTAACAAATTGAAGGAGAAGAACCATATGATCATCTCAATAGATGCAGAGAAAGCTTTTGACAAAATTCAACACCCATTTATGATAAAAACCCTGCAGAAAATAGGAATAGAGGGAGCTTTCCTCAACATAATAAAGGCCATATATGACAAACCCACAGCCAACATCGTCCTCAATGGTGAAAAACTGAAACCATTTCCACTAAGATCAGGAAAAAGACAAGGTTGCCCACTCTCACCACTCTTATTCAACGTAGTTTTGGAAGTTTTAGCCACAGCAATCAGAGAAGAAAAAGAAATAAAAGGAATCCAAATCGGAAAAGAAGAAGTAAAGCCGT